CCATTTAGCACCCGGGCTGTTGGTACGATCTGGTCTTGCAAACCGAGTTGTTCTACGACCCTCGACCGAATGATGTTGGCTGAGCTACCTGGTTTAATTAGCACTCGTTTAACTCTAGTTTTATTCATAAGCACAGAGATTACAAGTGCATCATTATGAGGTTGCATGATTCCTTCTGCGTCCTCGTCGTTGAAAGATAGAGTCCCTTCTGGTGAGTAATCCCGAGTTTGTTTTTCTCTTGTGATTGACACTTTGGTGCATTTCATCATCGGACCTTGGGGAACAACGACCCCTCCAATGATCATATGGACGTGCTGGGGTTCGTCTTGTCGGTTTTGTTTGTTGGAATCTTCTATTTCTGAAGTGATTCTTAGCTCGGTCACTCAAAAATTCTCGAAGATGACCGTCGTTGAACAAACAGGCTACTTCCTCCCTCAGTTGTCGACAATCCTCCGTTCTGTGGCCATGTGTGCCACGATATTTGCATATTTGGTTGGGATCCCTTTGTGCTGGATCAGTTTGCAAAGGTCGAGGCCACTTGGTATATTTGATGCGTCCAATGGCCGATACAATGGCAGCTGCGTCCACATGAAAGATGTACTCCGACAATCGTGGTACTTATTTGGGACCGATAGATCTATAGAAGCCGCTTTTACTCATGAGTCTTATTAACTTTGATCTCGATCATTTCACCTTTTGTTTCATGCAAAATTTTGCCCAGATCTGGTGCCTCTACGGTCTCCATTATACGGCTGATATCAAACTTTATTTGACCTTGGTTCTCGATCGATATCCCTCTTAATTCTATCTACGGGTCTGATAGGATAAACGGACCCAGAAGGAGCCCCCAATTGATCATCCTCGACCCTGATCTTCGACTGATACCGATTGTGCATATCGGCCCAAGTGACAGCTGGGTATTCGATCAAATTCTGCTTTAACTGTTGTGAAGCCACTGAACTTCGAACATTAAGACCTTGAGTGAAAGCATGAACAGCCCAATTGTCGGTGACCGGTGGCAAATCCATCCGTTCCATTTAGAATCGAGACACGAATTCTTTGAGCATCTCGTTGTCCTTATGCCTTACCTTGAAAAGGTCCGACTTCCTAGTTGCGACCTTAATGGCCCCGGCGTGTGCCTTTACGAAAGAATCTGCAAGCACAGCAAACGAGTCAATAGAATTAGGTGGTAAATTATGATACCATATCATAGCACCATTTGATAGAGTCTCCCCCAACTTCTTTAGAAAGACTAATTCAATCTCGTCATCTTCCAAGTCATTTCCTTTGACAGCACGCATGTAGGAGGTGACGTGTTCGTTTGGATCAGTTGTCCCATTATACTTAGGAATTTCGGGCATCGGAACTTCTTGGGGATTGGCTTCAGAGCGCACTAAGGGGGAAATATTTTTGTACAAGATTTTCGGAATCTAATCCTTTCAATATTGGTGGTGTCCCCAGGATTTGGTCGACCCTAGAGTTATAGGTTTCCACCTTCTTGTCGTTTTCCTCGATCTCCTTTTCCCCCATCTCGATTCTCTTTGTTAGTTCTTCAAGCATCTTTATGATAGCAGGATTGGTCTCCGATTCATTCTCGTTCGACTTCCTCGATACTGATTCGACCCTATGTACAATTTCCTGGGATGGCTCGAGTTCGACCCTGCTTGGTGTATGATTTTGATTTTGGAGCTGGGCTATTGCTGCATGTTGAGCCTGCAACATTTCTGAATTCACCGCATGCTGATCCTGCCATCTTCACTACCAGGTGCGCTCTGAGTAGCCGATCGAGCATCCCCGTCGACGCTGCTTTTGGGGTCGACGGCCAAATTTCCATTGATGGCTACATGTGAACTGACGTCGATTGGATCTACAACCGGAATTCCATCGAGGCCAACAGGCGGTACAACGTTTCCTGGTGCAATTTTCTCATTTTTGCCGTGGTGGCCGAGATTATTATCAATGTGTTGAGGTGCTAACTGAGAGTTTGACATTTTTTTAATTATGTAATCAAAGATACTTCAAAGATTAAGTGTAAAATAGTGTGTGTGTTACGAAAGTTTGTACCACCAGGTAACCACTATTATCCTTACCCCCTCCCCCTCCCCCGGTGGGCGCCAAACTGTTTACCCTAAAATCGGATAACAATTGAATCTATACTCGATTTTAAGTACACGTGATATAACTTGGTACAAATTGAGAAGAATAAAATAGTATTGAAATAGACAATTAAAGAATAAATGCGAACCACGCAAATTGTACAGCCTTGGCCCTCGAGTTCGGTCACCCTTGAACCAAATATGTATCAAATGGCTTAAGAGCAGAAAAACAAGACAATGATAATGACAATATATTGCTTTGTATTGTGTGAATATGATCCCTTTACAAATGATCAGACTCCCCTTTATATAGTAGGGGAGTCCTACTCTATGTACAATTCTATATGAAGTAAGAAATCCCATGATTGGCTAATTAATCGGCCTCTTCTTGATACGTGCCGGGATTCGCGCCGTGATCCTCGTCCGATTGCGGATATTTCGTCTTTCCGTTATTCGACTCGGTAAGCTTCACTCGATCTCCATCTTATTTGGTTTCGATCTTGGTCGATCTCGATCTTAATCGGTCTCAAGTCCTCGACCTCGGCAACCTAACTTTGCACCATAGTTTGATACTACACGAGGCTGATCCTTGGCTTATCGCGCTCCAGTCTCGATCAGTCACACTGAAAGGGCATACCTGAATTTGACCGTATACACAAACGAAATTTCATTAAGAGTAATATTCAATACATAGTAATATTTTTTTTGGCGAGAGAATTTATCGCTCCATTCTCGTCTCTTGCTTGGCCCATTTGTGAATAATTTCTTTTTAAAAGATTTGTGCATAGTTCAACCTTTGAAATTGCTAACACAGTTCAGATATATATGTACAAGACGTGCAAAGATTATAGGAGGATAGCATATAATTGTTTTCTCACTGTTTAATGAGTAAAACAGAAGACGTGCAATGAATGACTAGAAATTGATAGTCAGTTCCGTCTATCTTGCAAACTACTCCTAGCTAGTATCATTGAATATTGCAAACCAGTAGTTCTATTCAAACCTTATAAACCAGTAGAATATTCAAACCTTATCGTAGTTCTATAAATAATCCTATTCTATTCGTTCACAAATAATTCTATACAAATAAATCCATACAAAAGACAACGAAAATGAGAGTTACTGTTAGCCGATTCATAGTACCTTTTCTTCTTGTTGCATTGTCAACAAGCTTCTTCTTCCTCGTAAAAGCTCAAAATGTTTCTGAACCGGTACTCGACATTTCCGGTAATGCCGTCCGTAAAGGAGCGAATTATTTGATCGTTCCGGCGGGTCGGGGCAGTTCCGGTGGACTTGATGTCTCTTCCATTAGGAACACAACCAATCCTCTAGTTGTAAGCCAAAATACTCAAAATTCCAGCGGCACTTACCTTCAATTTTCACCAGTAAATCCGAAAGAAAATACCATCAGAGTATCGACTGATCTGAACATCAAGTATACGTCTATGATAATATCCGATTCGTCCACAGTATGGAGAATTAACACCGAATTAATTCCGCAACGTCATTTGGTGACAGTTGGTGGAGTTGAAGGAAATCCAGGGCGTGAAACATTGAGCAATTGGTTTAGGATTGATAAGTACGAGGATGCTTACAAACTTGTGTATTGTCCTGGAGTTTGTGAGACATGTAGACCATTCTGTGGAGACATTGGAATACTTGTTGAAGGTAGCAAAAGGGTTTTGTTTGTCGGTTCAAATCAACCTTTGAAAGTTAAATTTGAATATATAAACTCGGATGATCCCTGGGTTACAATTAATCCAAGTTCTAATCCTAGCATCGCAAATAAACTGTCAATCTTGCCCTTTGTTAAAGTTGTAATGTGCATTATTGTTATTTGTCACTTGATAAAGGTGGCATAGAATTAGAACAAACTAGGAAAAGTGGTCATCAATTAATACATCTATCTATTTATGTATGTACAGTAGTTTGGGTTGACTAGGTATGTATATGTCAATTGTAATTGAATAGGAGTGGGTGTCTCATTGTTTATTTCATTGAATTCGGTTGACAAAATTTGCAAGATAACGAAGAGGAAATCCGAGCTCAGTGTGAGCAACAATGGAGGTTTACTTCGAGAGAAAGAGAGAAGTGGATGAACATTCTAGATACAGAAGAAGCTTGATTCTTTTATTTCACTTTTTCATCCCAAATGAAATACAAAGTATATGTTCTATTTATAGAACTATACAATACATGTATGAGGAATACAAAAAATGAATACAAAGAATATAAATAATCTCAACACCCCCTTCCCCCCCCCCCCCCTCAAGTTGGAGGGGAGGACCTCACATCCAACTTGCCAAGAAGGCCGGCATGCTTGATCCCTGTTAATGACTTAGTCAGAATATCAGCTAATTGGTCATTGGTGGAGACATGATGAAGTGAGATGAGCCCTTCTTGTAGTTGATCTCTCACAAAATGACAATCTAATGTTGCACACTATAGGCAATGTCTAATCTAGTATTGGTAAGGAAGTTGAGTTTCCCAACTAATTTCCTATAATAAGAAAGGTCAGAAAGAAGAGCCCCCTCATCAGGTTTTAATTTCATAGATGGATCCATGGGAGAGGCCATGGAAGGACAATCTATACACCCAAACTCCTTTAAAAGGTCAATGGTGAATTTTCTTTGAGACATCAGAACACCCTTTTCTGTGTATTGTAACTCCAGTCCTAGGAAGTAATGGAGTCTCCCCAAGTCCTTTATTTTGAAAGTGTTGTGCAAAAAGGTCTTCAGGGACTCAATCTCTTGTAGATGAGTCCCAGTAACTAGGACATCATCTACATATACGGCTACAAACACTACTGAACCTTCACACCTTTTATAGAACAAAGAATAATCAAGCATGGAATGAGTATACCCTCTTGAACATAAAGCTTCAGTTAATTTTTCATACCATTGTCTACTTGCTTGTTTGAGTCCATATGTTCAGCTTACACACTAAGTATGGGGAGTCCACAACTAGGCCTGGAGGTATCTCCATGTACACTTCTTCATGGAGATCCCCATAGAGAAAAGCATTATTCACATCTAACTGTAAGACCTGCCACCCCTTCTTAACTGCAGTTGCTATTAGGGCCCTAACAGTTGTCATTTTAACCACAGGAGAGAATGTTTCAGTGTAATCTATCCCAGCTTGTTGTGTATACCCCTTAACTACTAATCTAGCCTTGAACCTTTCTACACTACCATCTGCCTTGTGTTTGATCTTATACACCCACTTACACCCTATTGCCTTCTTTCCAATTGGAAGGGGGACTAAGTCCCAAGTTTTGTTTGCATGCAATGCTTGAAACTCCTGAGTCATTGCTGCTTGCCATGCAGGCTTTACAGCAGCTTCCTCAAATGAGTTTGGTTCACATTCATGTGAGTTAGTTTCTATCAGATGCTGACAACTGGCTGATGCTTCAATAGGTGAGGTAACAGGAGGTTTAGGAGCAGATGTATTAAAAGAGAAGGACTGGGTACTTTGTCCAGCATTTGGAGAGGTTGATTGATTGTGATGATTTTGCTGAACTCTGGGAAGGATACATTCATAATCTTTAAGGTAGGCAGGTATTTTCAAAACTCTGGAAGGTCTGTTCTGGTTTGAAACTGAAGTCCTTTGATCCTGGGTTGTAGAGGTTTGACTATGAGTCATGTCAGGATGGACTTCTTCTGAATTATCAATAGGAACAGAGGTTCTTGATGTTTGGCTTCTTAGGGGTGAGTAAGGACAGCTGAAATTGTCATTGTGAGAATGCAATGAAGGTGTGCAGGGTTCAGAACTGGGCAGGTTCCCAGGTGACACTTCATGATGAGTGTTGTCACTAGTTGAGAGTGGAACATTACTCATACTACTGGGAGGAAACAGATCATCTGATAGGTATGATTTCATTTGAGGAAATGAAGGGAAGACTTTATTAGACTCAGTGAACATAACAAATGGGAACACATTTTCATGGAATACTACATCTCTAGAAATGCTTATCTTTTTAGTGGTCAGATTTAGTACCTTATAACCTTTTGTCCCAAAGGGATATCCCACAAAGACATGGGGAGTAGTTCTTGGCTCAAATTTATCCTTGTGTGTTTTGAGTATGGTAGGGAAGCATAGGCAACCAAAACTTCTAAGGTGAGAATAACTTGGAGTTTTCTGGTATAGGAGTTCAAAGGGGCACTTATTTTTGAGTGATGAAGAGGGCAGTCTATTTATTATATAGGTAGAAGTCAAGATGCATTCACCCCAGTACTGCATGGGTAATTTTGACTGATATAGTAGGGCCCTGGCTGTTTCCAGCAGGTATTTGTGTTTTCTTTCCACTACACCATTTTGTTGTGGTGTATATGGGCATGTTCTTTGGTGTATAATCCCCTTTGATTGTAAGAATGAACTGACTTCCTGACTGGTAAGTTCAAGGCCATTGTCTGTCCTTATAGATTTAACATTGACATTGAATTGTTGTTCTACCATGGCAAGAAAAGCTTTAATAGTGTGTAGAGCATTGCTCTTGCAACTCAACAAGTGGGTCCATGTGGACCTGCTGTAATCATCTACAAGGGTAATGAAGTACTTGTATTTATTGTGTGTTACAACATGGTATGGGCCCCACAAATCAATATGTACCAGCTCAAAGGGTTTTGTAGTCAAGGTTGTTCTTTCTGGAAAGGGTAGTCTAGTTTGTCTTGCCATTGGGCATATGGGGCAAAGAAAAGGTTGTTTGGGTGCAAAAGTAATAGGTATGGAAGAGATCCCTTTCATTTTGACAAAAGGTACATGTCCTAATCTGTTATGCCACAAAAGATCAAGCAAAGGCTTAGTATTAGAACAACTACCAGACAAAGAATGCACATTTTTATTATTTGGACTACTTACAGAATGGCCTGAATGTGGAATTAGGCCATTTTTATTATCATTAAGAGATAACGGAACTATAGTGGGAATAGCAGGAACACCAGAGCCCAATTTTCTTGTATCAGCTAATTGAGAAGAAGAAGGTAAACTAGACTTATTGTTAGTAAAGCATGAAATAGAACTACTGGAGGGATTAGGAAGGGTTGAACCAGTATTGCAACTCCTTGAGCAATGTAGGTACAGACCAGTCTTGGCTTTACCAATCTCCAGTGGCCTCTTCAGTGAAGGGCCCTGTAGAAGAATACAAATGTATCTGGTGAACACTACAATACAATCAAGTTGGACTGTCAAAGAGTGGACTGATATTAAGTTGAATTTAAAGCTGGGGACAAAAAGGACTTTCTTGAGACTAAATTTTGGACTCAGAATCATATCACCAATCAGTGTCACCTTAACCTTATACCCATTTGGTAGGGTGACTAGATATGGGTAAGCTAGGATTTTAACATTAGTTACGATTGATTTATTGTATGTCATGTGGTTTGTGGCTCCAGAGTCAAGGATCCAGGTATCAGCATCTGATCTAAAACTATCACATAGATGATCACTATTATTAGACTCAAAATGAGTGGAGCATGCTGAAATACCTGCAAAGTTCACAGCTCCTCTTTTGATGCAATTGTTTGTAGAATTGTCAGCTCCTCCTTGAAAGCTTTCCAGAATGGTAAGCAGTCGGCCATATTGTTCCTTAGTTAGACTGTGCATGTGTTGATTCTGTCCTTGTTCCTGAGGTCCCTTCCTGTCATCACTCACCACATCAGCTTCACTTGATGGTCCAAAATCATTTCCAGCAACTCTTTTTCCCTTATTGAATCTGGAGCTTTGTGGAAATCCATGAAGTTTGTAGCACTTGTCCTTGGTGTGTCCTGGCCTCTTGTAATAATCACAGAAGGGCCTAGGTCTGCTATTAAACTGGTTTCCTTTATATCCACTGTAGGTATTATTATTGTTCCCCTGTTGATTATAGTTGGTTCTGAAGTTGTTACTTCCTGATCCACTCATGTTCAAGGCAGTAGAATCCATTGAAAAGCTATTACTTGGTTTGACTTCCCTTTGTTTCTCCTCTTGAATAAGGATAGAGAAGGCTTGAGCTATTGTAGGAAGGGGGTTCATCATCAGAATACTCCCTCTCACAATAGTATACACCTCATTGAGCCCCATCAAAAACTGAATTAATCTTCTATCCTGTTCAGCCTTAAGCATGTTATCTCTTGCCCCACAGATGCACTTGCAAGTACATTTAGCATGAATATTCAGACTGTTGAGTTCTTCCCAAAGTTTTTTCATTTTTGTATAGTATCCAGTGATGTCCAGACTTCCTTGGCTCAGATCATTTATCTCCTTTTGTAATTGATACAATTTCGCCCCATTAGTCTGGTCGTATCTATCTTCTAGCTCTTTCCAAAGCTCTTTGGCATCGTTCACGTATTGTAAACTGTCAGCTAGATCCTTTGACAATGAATTTAAGATCCATGAGGTCACCATATCGTCGCATCGCTCCCATTGATCAAGGTCACTTGAATCAGAGGTCGGCTTCTTACACTTTCCGGTGATGAACCCCAACTTATTCTTCACAGAAAGTGCTCTAAGGATTCCTCTTCTCCATGATCTATAACCAGTTCCGTCAAAAGCTATCGGAACTAGCATAGATCCAGCGCTCTCCGATGGATACATGTAGAGTGGGCTCGTCGAATCTAGGGTTTTGTTCGCGACTGGGACCTCGTCTCCTCCGGCCATAATTTGAATTGACTACGATACAGTGGTTATTGATGAAGACAAATAGCTAGGAACAGTTGATTATTCAATCGATTCCACAAAGGAACCCTAATTCCCAATAGCGAGCAACAGTGATGAATTTTTGACTTTGCGAACAGAAGGGCGAACAATTGAAAGTGAATAGAGCTTCGAGTCGTTGTCTAGCTCTGATACCATGACAAAATTTGCAAGATAACGAAGAGGAAATCCGAGCTCAATGTGAGCAACAATGGAGGTTTACTTCGAGAGAAAGAGAGAAGTGGATGAACATTCTAGATACAGAAGAAGCTTGATTCTTTTATTTCACTTTTTCATCCCAAATGAAATACAGAGTATATGTTCTATTTATAGAACTATACAATACATGTATGAATACAATTGAGGAATACAAAAAATGAATACAAAGAATATAAATAATCTCAACATATTTATAATAACTAGTCTCTCTGCACGTGCGTTGTACGTGTACTCTGTATAAATTTCTTACTAAATGCTAAAACATAGTTATAAATTTTTAATATGCATACATAGTTGAAATTGATTGGGTTATAAAGTACTCCCTCCGGTCCAAAATAAGTAATTTTTTTGATGTTTTCACACAGATTAAGAAATTCATCTTTTAGCATTAATTAGCAATGAAATTGACCATATTAACTTTTACTATCTCACATAAATACTCCTAACACATACTCCAACACTATTTACTCCAAGGACAATGTAGGAAAAAAAAATTAATTCATTCTTGAAATCTGAAAAAATCACTTATTTGGACCACACAAAAAAGGCTAAAAAATCACTTATTTTGGACCAGAGGGAGTAGAAAATTACATATACAAGAAGTTTACATCTCCCATATGAAAATTGATTGCTCCAATAGGTGATGCTGGAAGCAACACTCTTTGACCAACTTTATCTTCTCTATATGTTTCAGCCATCATAGTACCAATTGAAAATTGGCATAGATGTGTTTTTAAGGTTGATTGCTCGTTTATGAAATATTGAAGCCTCCTTCGTTCTATTTCAACACACATATCATGCACAAAATCTTCAGTTTCTTTGTGTACACCTACAAGTAAAATATATTTAATACACTAATGTGTTAAGAGTTCAAATTTCATCATCAAAATGAAGAATTGAACTGCCAAATGAGTCCTTTTCTTTAATCTATTAACAGAAAAAATTAGGTATTCATGTAAGAGAAATTAAATAAAACGATTCATGTATGCCCTGTACTATTCAGAATACTCAATTTTATACTTTTTAGTAAAATCTTTGAGCTTGATATATCATCACGAAAAAAAACAATTTGAATTGCATAATGAGTCCTCTTTTATCTACTGGCTGAAAATTAGATAATCAATACGTCACAATATATAATGTGCTGCTCAAAATTACTCCAATTTTATGTTTTTTAATAAAATCTTTGAGCTTGATATCTTATTCGGGTGACTAAGGTCCTACTTCACATTAGCCTTATCACCGCGAGGAGCTCTCCACGATTAATTAAATGAGCCTTAGATAAAAACAACATAAGTTCAACAAAAAAAACATTATACAATGTGAAAATAAACTAAAATGGGAAAAAAATATAAAGAGGAAACTATAGAAGGAATTGATATATTTATCAAAATGATGGATTTCATTATTGCTTTGTCGTTGTACTTTCCTAAAATAATCATGACATAGTAAAAAAATATTACCATCATTTGCAAAGAAGTATGTTTCCTCTAAAATAATTTTATGAACACAACAAACTAAAAGTAGTAGAAAGGGGGAACTCACAGGGATTGTTGGTTAATTCGTGCGCATTCATCTTGTTCAAATATAGGATCTTGTCAAGAGTAAGAAAGCATATAATAGCAGTATTATAAGTCAGATGGCAACATCTTTCATCAGATATCATATTCTAGATCTATATATATTAGGAAAATTGTACTACAAAGCTTTTCGATATTTGGTAAGAATTGTCTTGTAACTTTACTTACATGGAAATGCTAGGGATACATTAGAAAAATAACTAAAACAAGAGGCAAATCCTAATAAAAAGAAGAAACAACTATTGAACTTATAGGTGCAATCTTCTGCTTTTACAAGAAGGTTTAACTCTTCACATGTCATTACAAAATGAACGTCTATTTGGACAATACGTAAATAAATTATAAATTAGATAAAATTTAGCAATTGAGATTATTACTTGCAAGTTGACGGAGGAATGATCCAATACATGGGTGTACGCATGAATTTTTATAAGCGGTGTCGAAATTTATAAAAGAACTACAATAATCTAATGGTTTTGTTAAGTCTTAAGTTAGAAAAGGTCCTGAATTCAATTCTACTTTATTACAATTTTAAACCACAAAGGCTCTCTCAAATATTTGAAAAAAAAAAAGGTGCTAGTTGAGGTTTGCACCTCTGACCTTTTAGAGCAAAATCAGGTAGATAATCAACACGCCAAGATACAATTTATGTCAATTAGTGTCATTTTTTCTTACTTATCTGTTCCTCACAGTATTAATGCATATATGTAGTAAAAAATTCGACGAAGCGGTGTCGGGTGACACCGTTTCGTTAAGCATGCATTTGCCCCTGATCCAATAGATCAATAATTTGCTCGTTATAATTTATTCCAGGCGTGCCTCCAGTTCCTGTACCAAAAAATCGAAATATTCCATCCTATTTATCCTATTCTAATGAAGAAAGTCACACATAATGTACAAGACAAGGGCTTTTTAGAGCTTCCTGTACAAGATGGCATTCTCTTATAACAATGATATGTTTAAGGGAAAAAAATAAAACAACCCAGTGCACAAAACACTCTGCGTTCATATAGGGTTCTGGTCACACAGAGACAACTTGACTACTGCTCCAAGGCTAAGGCAAGAAGTAATCCAAATTAACGATTATATGAAACTCCGTTATATTCCTTATTACCATTCTCACATATCTGATGGCTCTTTTGTATATAATTTTATGACATTTATATATTTAATTTTGACATATAAATATTTTCAAAATTGTAAAAATAAGTTGTAAACGAAATATTGCAGAGAATAAATGTTGAACCGGGAATCATCCAATTATTTTAGTTGGACTTGCTATTAATCAGGAAAAACTCAAAATCCTTATAAACATTAAAACAAAATGCCAATTCTGAACAACGCTTACTTTCTCTATCTACATTTGGAAGCAACAACCAAATATATTAGAGAATAAATAGAGATTTAGAAGTACATAAAAGATTCTGACTTTGAATAAGCCTCATTCCTCTAATTAATTCTGCTATATGCCAGGTCTCAAGAAAAAGGCAAATTTTTCACTTTTCAAGATTCAATATCAAAAATGCTGGAAAAGTGAAATACCATAACAGTGAAATAGGACTTTTCATAACCGTGCTTTTCAAGAAAGAACAATCGTAAGGAACTAAATTAAACCCAAAATTTTCAATTTATTTTTTCTCGTTGTAAACCCGGAGACAACTAAATTCGGGGTCTGACTAACTGTAAAAGTAAACCTATGAATCCATAAAAGTACATGTGACTGAATATAAGTTGAGAGACAAATACAGAATTTTAAAAAAGAAATAGAGAAAACTAAGCCTTGAAAATTAGAACTCAATTAAACTCTAGCCATCAATAGGACCATTTCACATAGCATATCTCAATTCACTAACAAATTGTAAAAGTAGATTTAGAAACCTCTATGTGAAAATAAGTTGAGAATTAAACAAAAATATAAGTTTTAAAAAGGAGCCAAACCTGGTGAAGCTTTAACAGGATAGAAGAGTGAGAAAAGAGTGCCATGAGATATTTTAACTTCTAAATTTGAAGAAAATAAATGATGGCAACTCTTCTTCAAAAAAGTGCCCGTCCGGGGCTTGGCGTCTGTTCGGAGGATAACGTCAGTTCGTAGGAGATTTTGCTCAAGTGGCGCGTATTTTAGATTTTTAAGTGGTTCTTAATATTTTGACATTTAAGTTAATTAAAAGGATACTTTAATAAATAATAAAGGGATAATTTGGTAATTTGACTTTTAGATTTAGATGTTCCTGCTTTTAATATATTGTAGATAGATTAGCATAGTTATATGCAATGTAAGGTGATACATATGAAATTAAAATACAAAAGAAAACTAACTTGTTGATGAAGACATACTATAACTCTATTCCAAGTTAAAAATACACCTCTCAAAAAAAAATAGTTATCATGCATAATAATAACTTATATATATATATATATAACCTAAAAGAAGGTAGATGTTTTAGGAGAAAATAAAACCAACGGAAATGAAAGAGGCCTATGAGTTAATTGCCTATAATGTTATTTACATCACCTGAAATAGGAATACAGAGGCCTATGAGTAGAGATAATAAAATCCAATATTGCTCTTTTTTCTCACGCAATACTTAGAAGTCGTCTTGTTTCGCCAATTTTTGGTTTCTAAAAGATTATCTCAGATAGTTAATTCTGGGTTATGAAATTGCCTCGAACAAATCCTCACCGGGTTGCGATCGAAAAAGTTCTTCCTTTTTACGTGCAGAGAATAGTTCCTCTGAATAAATTATAGCGAAAGAAATTCATGTAATCCCTCGGTGCTAGAACTTGCTTTGTTCTGGACCAAAACTATTGCTGCTTGAATTTAGCCAACCATTGCATGTTAGTTTCTGTAACCTTAAGAATGCAGCCCGCTCAACCACACTTCATGGTAAAACTTTAGGAATTGGTTCTTTTTCGTATTGCAGGATGTTGGTATACCTTGATCAATAATTCCATTCGTTGAAACCAACGTCGATTTGGCGTCATTTTGTAGAACATCCAATTAAAGGAAAGATATTCCCATTTTTGGAACCACATGATTCCTTCAATGATCACAAAAAATTAAATAAAATATTAAGAATACCCTAATTATTATTTCAAGAAATGTCAAGACAACAAAATAATCTTCAAGTTAAAGACTACTTCCAGTTACGTTCTCTTTTCGTATAA